TGGAGACGCCAATACTTCAATTTACCATGCTGTTGTAGGAAATCACAAGTAAGAGGTAATTTGGACCAGATCACTTGGTTAAAGTTTAGAGAGCGCTCAAAAAGCTCAAACATCTGCTAAGGTGACACAGTCCTCTAAACTGATTATTTCAGCAATAAAAAATATTAATCTGCATGTGGAGCTGGTTTTTTCATTAACAGTAATACTGTTTGGCTGATCATGGCCAACATTGTACATCCTACATCCTGACCAGAAATATTATTGTTGGATAAAGATGCTATGTGCAACATTTCAGATGGGTCTGCATTTAATTTATCATATTCCAGTTGCACCAATTACAGAAGAAACACCATCCAATTTTGTAGGACAACTCAGAGTAGATATGTACTGCTCTCATCTCTTTAAATGTGGCACCAAGAACACAGTGCATATGTTGTAGGCCTGGTTTTATACCCTTCTCCCCTCTCATGTGTCTTGCTCTTACAATAATGTCCTTACCAACTTTATTTATGTTCATGTCTTATGTGTGTGCGCTACCTGGGCTTCTCACTTCTCTCTGTTCTTCCCGACACTTCTCTACTAGACTGTCCAACTCAAGTCGTTATTCACCCATTTCAATCGTTTTGATCTTATCACTGACTTTCTTTCTCTCTGGTCAAATAAGAGCATCATCCCTTGCTCGTGCCAACGGTTACGTCATTGCCTCTCCGCTTGACATCTTCTTTTGCGGATGTCGGCATATTCTTACTTAACCCTGACTCCCTGGCTGGAATATCTATGAATATACTAATATAATTATATGAATATAATACATATAGCATGCAAATATATGTCAGCTAAAAAAGAAAATAGACTGATTACTTATAATATGCAAAATAACACCAATTCAATATAAAAGGCAGCTAATAGGCACATTTATATTTAATCATTATCTTAACTTTTGGCCTATGTGTATATAATTACGACGTTAGATTGGAAACTTCTTTATAATGCAATTTAGCCTTGATTTTCATTTCTACACAGCATGCTAGCATGCAGAAAGTGATAATGTTAACATGCTGATGTTAATCAAGTTTAATGTTTACCTTTGTTACCATCTAAATTTAATGTGTAGTGCTCACAACCTCACCTCCACCATTAGAACAGTTAACCAAATTTAAGACTGCATTAGGAACTATGCAGTGAGTGATCACCAGCAGTAGGTGACAGTCTCACTTTATGATAGCCTGATGATTACGTTATTATCATTGACCTTAAATTAACTAATCATCATCATTGTCACTATGGCATGGCACAAACTCTTCCCAAGGGCGTCACTTTGTGTTGAAAAGTGGGCTCAGATTAGGGGTGTGACGAAACACTTAGCCCACAAGACCTGACATTGCACAAGATTGGGGTCATGAGAACAAAGCAAGAGTATATTTTAATACGATTTAGGAAAAAAAATTATATCAATATTTATTGATGAAATATAGTATTGGGGGTGTGGGGGGTTTCTCCCCCAGAAGATTTTGAGCATGAAACACTTAATTTCCTGAGTTCTGGACATATTTTCTGCACCAATTTATGGTGGAAATGTCTTTATTTATATTGAGGGAAACACAAAATTCAGGTGGCAGGTGACAAATCAGAATATAAAAATATAATAGAATATAAAGCATTAATTAGTAGCTTAAGTTACTTTTTTTGTACAACACAGATGTTTCTTCTACATTTAAATTGCATTGCAGGTTTTCTTATTGTGCAAATAAACCTTTCCTAAAGCATTTTGATTTGGTAATTAACATTTCTTCATTTTTTTTAAGATATTTGACAAATGCTTTCAAAAAGTGATGGGGACAACATCTGCCACTTCAAAAAGTGGGTACATGTCGTCCCCAGAGTAAATGACACCTATGACCCCACCTCCCTGCTTCCTCCCAGGTTGAGCTACTCCATGCATACCGCTTCACCTCCACTCTCCTCCTGCTCTCTCTCTCCCTTGGCCCTGTCACGTTAACTGTGTACCTCTGCTTTGCTCTCCTTTACTCCTTTAAGTGACCGTGTCTGCACTACGATGGGTACTGCAGCTGATGTTAAAGCTACTACAGCCCCGGTAGCAAAGATATTGGTTATTTTCGCACAATTGGCAGCAGCTGTCTGAAGAATCTTTTTTGACCCGCAACCCAAGAAACAGAGGGCAGAGGGGGAGGGACTGGGGGCTAGTTAGAGATGTGATTGGACCAGCCCAGTGTCAGTATAGAAAATTACCCAATTAGCTGCTGTCTGTGCTTTATAGGCCAGTTGTTGGCCCATTTTTAAAAACCAGATTACCAGTACCAGCCCCAGTGGCAGGCGAGATGAGAGAAAATGGTCAACAAAAAGCCTCATTTTAGCTGTAAATTCATCCGCATTCACGATCAAGATATATATATATACATATATATATATATATATTTCTTAGGGCTACCTAAGAGATACAGCAAGCTGATACCTGAGGCTCTGTAGACTGCCAAACAAAGACTTACCACTCTGGCTACTTGCCTAAAGAGATACTATGGAGGAAGCCAGGAAAATAAACTGGATGTTCTCCACCGAACCATCCAAAGTATACTCTCAGTGGCAGGGTAATAACACAACATCAGATCCACCCAGGGCTGAGACTGAACAGTACTGGAAGAACATCTGGGAGAAAGAGGCATCCCACAACACCAATGCTCAGTGGCTAGTGGATCAAAGAACAGATCACAGCAATCTCCCAGACCAAGATCCAGTAACCATTACAATGGCAGACATCCAAGAAAGTGTGGCAGGTATGAAGAGCTGGACAGCACCAAGCCCTGACATGATCCACACCTACTGGCTGAAGAAACTAACTGCACTCCATGAACGCCTGGCCGCACAAATGAACCAACTGCTGATAGATGGGACCCACCCAAAATGGTTAACCCAAGGATGGACAGTCCTGATCATGAAGGATCTCCAGAAGGTAACACTCCTGCGTCTGCACAACATGGAAGCTCCTGTCAGGCATCATAGCGGCTAAGATGAGTTGGCACATGGTTCAGTACATGGACAGGGCCCAGAAAGGAATGGGCAGTAACACCAGGGGAGCCAAGCACCAGCTACTGGTTGATAGAGCAGTTACTCAAGACTCCAAGACCAGGCAGACCAAACTGTGCACCGCCTGCAAAGCCTACACTCAGTGCCACATACATGGATACTGGAATACTTGGAAATGTACAGGATCAACAGGACACTAATAGCCTTCATCAAGAACTCAATGGGGCTGTGGAAAACCAAGTCTGGAAGCCAACTCAAAGCCAATAGCACAAGTCACCATCAAGTAATGCACAATCCCCACTGCTGTTCTCCACAGGCCTTAACCCCCCTCAGCCAGATCATCACAAAGATTGGCTACGGATACCGGTTCCGAAGTGGAACAACAATCAGTCACCTCCTCTACATGGATGACATCAAGCTTTATGCCAGAAATGAGCGAGACATCGACTCACTGATCCACACTACCAGGATGTACAGCAACAACATTGGAATGTCATTCGGACTGGACAAGGTTGGCAGCGTGGTGTCAAAAAGAGGGAAAATTATCAGAACTGAGGGGGGTTGAACTACCAGAAGGCCACATTGCAGATGTTCAGGACAGCTACAAATACCTTGGGGTGCCGCAGGCTAAAGTAATCCATGAGGAGGCAGCATTGAAGTCCGCCACCGCCAAATACCTACAGAGAGTAAGGCAGGTCCTGAAAAGTCAGCTGAATGGGAAGAAGAAGATCCGAGCCATCAACATATACGCCCTGCCAGTCATCAGATACCCCGCTGGTATAATGAACTGGCCAAAGGAGGAGATAGAGGCTACTGACATCAAGACAAGAAAGCTCCTCTCAATGCATGGAGGGTTTCACCCCAAATCCAGCACCCTGAGACTGTACACCAAGCGTAGCGAGGGAGGCCAAGGGCTAGTGAGTGTCAAGACGACTGACCAGGATGAAACAACAAAGATCCAGGAGTACATCAGGAAGATGGCCCCCAAAGATGAAGAGCTTAGTGAATACCTCAGGCAGCAGAAACCCGAGGGTGAGCACAAGGAAGACGAAGAACCTTCATGGAGGGACAAGCCGCTGCATGGCATGTACCACAGATAAATAGAAGAAGTGGCTGATATAAAGAAATCCTACTAGTGGCTGGAAAAGGCTGCACTAAAGAGCAGCACAGAAGTACTAATCATGGTGGCACAAGAACAGGCACTCAGTACAAGATCAATAGAGGCTGGAGTCTACCATACCAGGCAGGACCCCAGGTGCAGACTGTGCAAGGATGCCCCTGAGACAGTACAGCAACATAACAGCAGGGTGTAAGATGCAAGCAGGAAGTGCGTACATGGAACGCCATAACCAGGTAGCTGGCATAGTGTACAGAAACATCTGCCATGAGTATGGGCTGGAAGTCCCATGGTCAAAATGGAAGACACCTCCTAAGGTTTTGAGAATGACTGAGCTAAGATCCTGTGGGACTTCAAGATCCAGACTGACAAACTGGTGATGGCTAACCAACCAGACATCGTTGATCAACAAACAGCAGAAGAAGGCTGCAGTGATATGTGGCAATCCCAAGCAACAGCAACATCAAGAAGAAGGGACACGAGAAGCTTGAGAAATGGGCTGAAAGAGTAGCTAGAAAAGATGTGGAAAGCAAGAGCAACAGTCGTGCCAGTGGTAATCAGAGCATTAGGGGCTGTGACCCCCAAACCAGGAGAGTGGCTACAGCAGATTACAGGTAAAACATCTGAGGTCTTTGTCCAGAAGAGTACAGTTGTAGTAACAGCTAAAATACTACGCAGAACCCTCAAACTCCCAGGTCTGTGGTAGAGGACCTGAGCTTGAGGATGACACATACCACCCCGCAAGGGGTGAGAGGGGCATTTTTATATATATATATATGTACTTATATATATATTTAAAATATCCTATATATAAACTTATATATATATATTTAAAATATCATATATATATATATATATATTCAATCATTCAATTTCACAGATTAAGTCATTTATAAAATATCTAAGCAGTAAAACAGTACACTACTGAAAATGCAACCTCCATAGTGAAAAGAACTAGATTATGTTGGCCTAAACTGGACTTCTGTGTGTAGGTTAACACTTCAGATCACACTGAGAAATAATGACTTTGTCAGAAATATGAAAAGTAAAGACTCTTCACTCACCTCAGGCAGAGTTTTCACCAGGCAGTAACATGTTCTTTCTTCACACATTCTCACCTGTCTGTCTTCTACCACCAAGTCCACCACTCATGTCGGAAAAATTGAGAGGAGACAGGGTGAGTTTTAATCTTCCCATACTGCAGAGAAAGCCATATGCAGGGTGTTTATGAACTTCAGTGGTGTTTTTACACAATATGTCGGAATGTTTTGTCTCTATGGCAACCATTTTGTGTACATCCACATAAACCTGCTGAAAAAGTCAGATTACATTGAGTATTTTTGTATCCTAAAGATTTCCTGTTTACTCCCTAAACATCTATACGACAGGGACTCAGAGACCATCAACATCTAAGGTAGGCTGTTTTTTACAGGATATCTTTTTGAGTTTCCAGGACACATTCAATATTTCAGTTTAAGTTAAGTTAGCTAGTTCTATCCACAGTGACAAAGGTTTACTGGCAAATATAAATTAGTGTGGTAAGTGTGAGAAATGTTTATCCACTTCCTATTGAAGATCTGTGTTTATTGTTAGCTATTTTACACTCAATACACCACTTTACATGGAGCTTCTGATTAAGACACAGTTGCTACAACTGCATAAAAGGTTAATGAATGATAGAAAAGCTTGTTGCTTTGTGTTGCTCACAATGAGGCAACAGATGCAGCGGGAGGCCACCCCACTGCAGGGTATCCAGTGACAGCACTGGCTTAACGTTAGGCATATGAACTGTCAAGGGCTGCAGAACAGAGAGATGAAAGGTATAGAGGGAGAGAGACACACACAAAGCCAGGGAAAGTCACAGGCACTTTTGTCTCACTGACTGAGAGGAATGACAAGGAGAGGAGAGGGACTAAAATGAGAAAGTCACACAGACGTTGCCTTAGTATTTGATGGAAGTAAGATATACAGATAGAAAGGAGAGGGAGGATGCAGTGTGAGAGGATGGGAGAACTTTGTGCAGAGTGAAGACCCTGACTTCTCTTTAATTCTCTCTCATGCTGAGTTTGAAAAAGTAGCATTTCAACAGTGAGCTCAGGTATAAGCTGGGATATATCTCTGAGTTGACATTTGTAGTCACTATTTCCTGTATATTTTTGTGATATGCTGCGTCTTTAAAAACCATGTTTGAAATATTACAATATAGAAGATGACAACAAAAAAATAAAATAAAATAATGTGCTTTAAATTGACCTAAATTCAACATTTTCTTCCTTCTAACACTATGATGACGTATATTCAGCCTTGCATAAAACACAAGCCTTTAATACAGTTGTAGTAGCCACATACTCTTCCCAGAATTGTATGATGATTCCACACAAGTTGGATGATCAACAACAAGGGATTAAGAGGCTATAATGATTGTGTGCAGGGCGGGATGAAGAAAAGCAAGGCCCCCTCCTCCAGGAGAGCTGAAATCCAGCAACTGTATCAATGCTACACCTCAGGCCATACAACTTTGCCAGCCTGTGCCCTCCTCAGGTTCCTCCACAAGGAGCAGATGGAGCTCACAGCAAATGAGGAGACAGCAGAGAGTCTGATTGATAGATATGAGATTGAAGAGACAGGTAAGTGAAGGTAGAGCTGTGTCATTACAATGGGTAAAAAAAAAATGAATTAAGGACTAAGGCTTATTCACGAATGATGCTAATTTAGTTAGAACAGAAGTTAAGGCCTTAGCTCCAGTGGTGTCTGGCTGAAAAAGTAATTTGCTGTAAGACCAGAAGCAAGATGTTGAAATGACATAAGGAAAATGCAAGAGTCAGGCACGTCGGTGGACTAGTAGACCAGATGTCTATGGCCTAGTGCCCAGCTGGCTAATTCACAGCATCACAAACAGCAAAACAGGAAAAACAACAGAAGACTGTAGTCTATGACAACTAGTCTGTGCTGCAGCTTAATTGAATACCTCACTTTTTACACTTTATGGTATAGTCTTTGAGTAAGACAGGGTTTTGAGAAGCAGTTTGTAGCCTTTCTAGTACAGCTATACTATACTATATATATAGCCTATACTATTTTTTGGATACTTGTTGAATTCATCCAAATTTTAACCAGAACTAAACTGCTGAATGTGAAAGCAGGTCCACAAGGTGTAATCTGTAGATTCAGCCTACCATTAGCAGCACAGAGGACATTTTGACAGCAGAAATGGTGCAGGTGAAACAAATTTAGTTAATGATGGCTCAGTTCCACCAAGTGTCCCAGTAAGCCATGAGAGTGAGCCAGCATGAACAATATCAGGACCTTGGAACTAGGAATGCAGTTGTTTTTAATGTTATTACTTACACCCAGGGCTTGACATTAACACCCGCCAACCCGCCAAATGCAGGTGGATTTTGGCCGTGGCGGGTAACACAGTCACTACCACTAGCCACTTTGGCATGTTGAAAATTTGTAGTCTGGTCAAAAGCATAGGTCAAAAAACATAAATAATAGATGAATTGTCTAAGATTCTCAGTCATCCAGGTCATAGTATCCAAACCTTCGTAACCTTCGTTGGATAATAGATGAATTGCAATATGACACTACGACACTACAACTCCCATGAGTACTACCTACACATAGTGTTTGCTCATTGGTCCATTAGTGAAGCCTACTGTCTTGCATGCTACTGACCAACGACACTGTCAACAAGAAGACGCTGTGGAGAATAAATCCGCGGACTGGCCGTCAGACCGAGGGCATAGTAGCCGACCAGTGTGGAGAAAATATGCACAGCAGAATGAGAGAAAGAGAAAAGGCAGGAGGAAAGTGCCCTTAAATGCTGTAAAATTACAGATACATTCATGATTAAGGGACGTGGCGTTATTACTTGCAGGGTTGCCCTTATATCACATTAAATTGTCCTATCACAACTACCTTTCCAGAGTTGATTATTAAAATATAGAACTATGTTTCAATAAAAGTCGTCATGCCATATGAAAGCAAAATCCATCCATCCATCTTCATCCGCTTATCTGGGATCAGGTCGCGGGGTGAAAGCAAAATGAAAAAATTAAAAAAGACCTGTATACTTGTTTCGTATCTCTACCTTATCAGAGCTAATGATAATATTAGTACATTTTAGCACACCATTGTAAACTTTAATTGTATAAAATATAATTTCCCATAAACTAAAATTTGGCTTGTGAACATGCTGTGTGGCTAGTAACTTTGGAAAACCACTAGCCACATTGGCTGGTGCGCAACAAGTTATTGTCAAGCCCTGCTTACACCGGTGCTTTTCCTGCTATGACAAGCCAAAATGTTTGATGTGGAAAACGGTCTGCATTAAGCTAGGTGATAAGATGTTTCTCACAGTAGTGTTTCTTTAGAACTGTAGTAGACTTCTATCTTCTAATTTGTATGTATGCAATCTGGTACTTTTTAATCAAAGAACCAGATTCATTTCAATGAAGCTGCTCATCTTTTGAACTGATTATTCATTTTTAAAGCCACTTTAATGTTGACGTACAATTTTAGTGTAGTTGTGTCCTTCAGTATCACTAAATCATAATCCATTCCATTTACAAATAAAATTAGTCACTCAGTAAGCTTTACCAAGTAGCTACATTTCGTGGAAGGTAGTTTCTAGTAGTAGCATGGCTCTAGAGATTGGTCTTTTGGTCAATGCTCCACTTTGTTCCTGACTGAAATAACTATTGGTTAGATTGCCATGATATTTTGTACAGACAGTCACCATGGAAGAATTCTAACTGACAAGCTAAACTAAGATGGTGCATATGGTAAACATCATACCTGCCAAACATTATTACACCTCCCATTATACCTGCTAAACATAGCATGTTAGCATTATTATAATTGTGTTATTGTGAAATTAGAATTTCACTCAGAGCGCTATTTGTACTGCCTAACTACGTCCTCACAGAGCTGCTAGCATGGCTGTAGACTCTTAGTCTTGTTATTCATTTGATTAGTTTTAATATGACACTATGAACAGAAATTTTGCCTAAGCTAGCAGGTGTTGTCCTCTTTTTAAACTTTTATTTTGCTGCTTTGTTAGTTTTGACTGTCACTGAGTTTTACTCTGCCCCTTCCTCATCTTCCAGCCAGAGAAAACAGGTATATGACGTTTGAAGGATTCCTTAGGTACATGGAGTCCAAAGACTGCAGCGTGTTCGACCTGGCCCACGCATCTGTCTACCAAGACATGGACCAGCCTCTCACCAGTTACTTCATCTCCTCATCACACAACACCTACCTGACTGGAGACCAGCTAGTAGGACAGAGCCACCTGGATGCCTATGTTTGGTAGGGAAGTACAGTTTACAGAATGTGTTCTTTTTCATGATGCAGCACTTTAGAAAACCAGTTCCCTACATGACTTATATCTGTAACCTGTATGCGATACAGTATAGGCTATATAATTGCATATACACAGGTTAAATTATATTTGCTATAAGCCACCATTAAATCGTGTCCATTTCATTAGTCTGATATGGCCAATTTAAATGTCCCTCAATACACTCTTTCTTAAGTCTCTCCTCCATACCAATGTATGTGTCATTCTCTCTTTTTCCTCTCATTTCATTGACCCACTCATGTGCTGAGGCAGACTGTGAATTTTCTGTGGTCCCTTTATGGAGTAATGGAGGTGATTAGAAAAGGGGCTGATGGCAGCAGAAGTCCAGTATTTATGGTCCCTGTGAAAGTGCTGAGCGGCCTAGCCAGCTGGTAGAGAGGAACCCTCTAAACCAGCGGCCTGGAAGCTCTGGTTTACTTAGATAATGAAAGAATCATCTATAGAGGAGAACATGAGTAGAAGGTGGATTTTTATAACTCCCACTATCTCACAGGTGGGAGAGAGAAGAAAAGAAAATGACTAAATGTATTTCTTGGGGAAGAAATACTAGATTTACAAGAGCCTATATGTTGTGAAAGAAGGAACTGGCAAAGAATGGTGAAATTTGAAGATGCAGTTGACTGATTATAATTAATCACTGAAATGTTTAATTGTCTATGATTAAACTGTTTTAGCTTTACATTACCACTTACATGGTAACTTAACTGTGTTTTGTGGGAATAATGAACAGAACTGACATACCACATTCAAAGTGGTGTGACATTATTGTCTAATTGTGTCCTGTTGGCGTAGAGGTCATTGCTAGCTTAGCATAAAGACTAGAAGTAGGGAGAAACAGCTAGCCTGGCCCTGTCAGAGTTCCAAAATACACTTAGCAGCACATTTAAAGGCCACACACGAACTCACTGTATATTGTGTGTTTATATCATGCACAAGTAAAGTAGAACAACTAAAAGTATTTATGCTAAACTAAGCCAATCGCTTCCCAGCTCTAGTTCTGTTCCAGACAACATGATCAAACTCATTCTGTACCTTGTAACCACATGTTCTGGATTTAATATAATATTTGTTACAATTAAAAATATAATAAAAAAATAATAATTTAAAAGATAACCAAACTGCCAAAATAATAATAAAATAGAAACTAGATAGAAATGATGATGTGCTGAAGATCCATCAGTCATCCATTCTCTGAAATGCAGGAGGCAATTCGAATGCGACTTGCAATACAAATTTTTTTTTTCACTCACAATAGTAGTGGGGTTACAAAGCACAACTTAGAGCAAGACAGTAATTATGGCATTTCTGTGACTAGAGGAAAACATAGCAGGAAACTGAAGTGAAAGAACAACATACATGGACTCCAACTGTTGAAGAAACACACGACAGGCGCATATTTATGTGTGCCATCATTTAAATGAAAAACAGCTATAAATTGTTCGATTTCCCAAAAGGCAGAACCATTCCAGATTTGAAATGTCTGAAGTGAAAAGGTGATAAAACTTTGCATCAGGGTTGCACGAAAACATATCATTGCCACCCCTGCTGTGAAAATGATTTTTGTCCACAACCGACAGAATGCCATATATGTTAACACTAAAACACATTCTGTACTGTATAAATCTGAACATATTTTTTAATATAAAGAAAACCATTTTCTGTGCCTTGTCACAGCTCAGTGTGTGTTCATGTGTCTCCGTTTATTTGCATGTGCTTGTGTATGTGTGCGTTTGTGTGGCACAGTGCTCTTAGGAAAGGCTGTCGCTGTCTGGAGATTGACTGCTGGGATGGGCCAGACATGGAGCCTGTAGTCTACCATGGCTACACCCTGACCACCAAGATACTCTTTAAGGACGTTATCACCACTGTAGAGCAACATGCCTTTGAGGTAACAGCAAATAGTATATTACATGCCATATATTTTCAGGAGTGGTGCACCAGTCATCTAACTCAGCGTTCACGCTCACCTCCGTAAGCTCCAGGAGTCCCTACGTAGCTGCATTTGCTCTAATTAATAGCTTCTCTGATAGTAATGTTTTGCTTGCAAGTTGTCTTTGATTCAGGCAGTTTAGGCCATTCTCTGTGATGTGTCTGGAGATGTAGAGCCCCCAGAGAGAATCGCATATCCAGGTTGATGATAATTGTTGAAAATAGGGATTTAATTGTGATTTTTAAAATGTGATTATTTCTCAACAGGTGTCTGCTTACCCCGTGATCCTGTCATTAGAAAACCATTGCTCCCAAGAGCAGCAGGTGGTCATGGCCCAGTATCTCATCTCTATCCTGGGGGACAAGCTGCTGAGAACTCCCTTGGATCACCCAACAACTGGAGACCTCCCAAGCCCAAATGTAAGACTTGAAAAAGAGAGAGCTTGGCTATCTGAGTGGTAAATCATAAGCAGAATCTGTGTTTAATGTTAGAGCTGCTAGCGCAGGCAGAGGGATGATAGCGTTTGTATACATAAATCCTCATCGTCTGTCATAGCGACGCAAAATAAGTAGGAAATGAGACCTTTTCAGCGTCACAGAGGGCCTCATTAGCCTCTTTCTGAGGCTTTCTGTGCCTCTCTCCTTCACTGGTAAGCAGGGGTAGCAGGACGTCTGCATTTGCAAGCCTCTTTAATCTCTGAGAGATTCAAAAAATCTAATGTGATGTAGTTGATCCTGAGAAGTGTCCATCATTTTAAATGTGCTGAGGCACTTGAGCTGATTGCTCATTTAGATTAACCTGTTTGGGTTCAGACTACTCCTCTGAAAGCATCTGCCTCAACCCATGACTGAGTGGCCAGCCTGAAAGATGCTGGCAGTGTCACTCCAGTCTATTGAATATGACGAGAAGGATGAAGGATTTTTTCTCCGTGTGCTTTCTCACCGGAATTTCTTTGCTGGCTCTGACTTGTACGGCTTTAGAATGTACTGCAAAAAGCATGAGTTGTGTTTTAGTGTGCATATAAAATTTTCTTCCCCATATTGTTTTTTTATCTTTATGACTCAGGAAGTAGGGGCTTACACAGGAGCCTCAGCACTATGTACTCAGCACTCATGACTATTAAATGCTCAGCAACTTGAACACTAAATCAGTGTTTATGTGTCACATTCATGCAGCAGTTCACACCACATGTTACCATCCAGTTAGGAAAGCAAAACCATTATGCAATACTCTTTAAGATAACTTTTCATTATCTTAAACTCCACTCTGACCAACGTTTTCATCAAAGCCAGAAAGAATGGAAAACCTAATGGTCTTCCCTCTGTTTTTTCCAGCAGTGTTATTGTAGGATTAGAAATAAGATGTAGTTCATTAACAATTTATTACTCTACTTTATTCTATTCATACCATAAACATGTGCAAAATTATCTGTGTGAACCCTCATATGATATCCTAAGTTAATTCAACTTAAGTAAAGCCTCTGTTTTAGCTCTCCAGACTATCATATTGTATAACAGCAATGAAAAATGAAAGAGTGCAGTGCCAAAGAAAGAGCTACATCTTATAATGTTCATACTATATGGATTCACACAGGTTGTTAATGTTAGGAGATCTGTAATTACTTTGCATATTCTGCCTGCGCATACAGTATGTGAAGCTGATAGAGTGACTTCCTGCTGTGTTGTTTCCCATGGAGCTGCTTCCAAGTCCAGACCATAATGTTTTTTTACTTTTGGCATAGGCCTAGTGCCTCATCTGCATAAAGAGCCCTATAGATTAGCAGCCAAGACGGTGAAATGTAGCAGCAGATTTGTGATTGAGTGATTTGGTACACCTGCAGCTTTTTGCTTCTTTATCCTACTAAACCTGGATGTGTTTATGCACTGGTGTGGATGTGGCTACTGTGTGACTCTTTATCTTTTTGACAAATCAGAGAGGGGGCGGTTCGTGCAAAGCAGGTGTTTTGATGTTTGTGTCCTTAGTTTGAGGATGCAGGAACAGAGTTTGTTTGACTGATGCATCTGTGTGATGGTTTTATGAATGCGGGGGTGAATGTACTTGCTCATTATTAAGGTACCTTTGCATTTTACTCATGCTGTATGTGTTTTTGTGGGGATGTCAGGACCTGAAATATAAGATCCTCATCAAGAATAAAAAGCTAAAGCCTCAGATTAAGATGGACACAGCAGGGACAGAGGCAGAGGAGAGTGTAGATGAGGGAGAGGATGAAGAGGATGATGATGAGGAGGAGGAGGATCATCAAAGCAAAGCAACGTTCTGGGCTTCCAGAAAGGCAGGGTCAAAGATAAAAGTAAGTCAATGAGATTTAAGAACATAGAGATACGTATAGATATGGTTGAATGTACACTGCAACACTGCAACCAATAAGGTGATGGGACCAAAAGGTAAAACTTTATAATAATAATAATAATAATCTTTATTTTTAGAGCACTTTTCAAAAACAAGTTACAAAGTGCTTTAACAAGTGTAAAGACAATAATACCCAAGAGACAATAATACAAAAACAATACAAGATAAAAGCATGAAAACATTGAAAAGACTAAAATACACGTTTAAGATAAATATAAAATTAGTAAAATAGAATAAAATAAAAGGATAAAATAAAGTCAAATATGATCGGGAAAGGCTCTCCTATAAAAGTATGTTTTAAGAAGGGACTTAAAAGAGTTCACTGACTCAGCTGACCTGATTTCCTCGGGCAGAGCTTCGGGGCCCTGACAGCAAACGCTCTGTCCCCTTTAGTTTTCAGTCGAGACTCTGGAACAGACAGCAGACCTCTACCCGAGGATCTCAAGGTACGTGCTGGTGTGTATGGGACTAAAAGTTCAGAAATATAACAAGGCGAGAGGCCATGAAGAGCTTTAAAAGTAATCAATAGAATTTTAAAGCAATTCTAAAACATACTGGGAGCCAGTGTAATGAAGCTAAAATAGGAGTAATGTGGTCATATTTCTTTGTTCTGGTTAAAAGCCTGGCAGCTGAGTTCTGGACAGTCTGCAGTCGATCAACAGATTTTTGGGTTAAACAGGTGAAAAGGCTGTTGCAATAATCCAGGCGTGATGAGATGAAGGCGTGTAAAATGGTCTCGGTGTCCTTAAAAGTTAACATAGATCGAATTTTTGCTATATTTCGAAGTTGATAAAAACATGATTGAACAAGCTTTATGGTATGCTGCTCAAAATTTAAATTACTATCAAACCGAACACCAAGGTTCTTTGCAACAGGCTTAATGTGATTTACTAGGGAACCAGCAGATGGCAGTATTTGATTTGCCATCTGCTGGGACCCAATGACCAGGATTTCTGTTTTTCGGAGTTCAGCTGGAGGAAATTATTTGACATCCATTTTTTAACTTCACAAAGGCAGTTGTTAAGTGAACTCAGCATTCCAGGGTCTGTGGATCTGACGGGAAAGTATATTTGTTAGTCTTGTATACTTTGGAATTTCAACCCTATTTGCTGCAATTTGGTGAATGCTGTATTTTGTTTATCTTCCCCTTTACCCTAAATCTAACGAGTAGAAGAAGAAGGTGGTGGTGGTGGCAGAGGCTTTATCTGACCTGGTCATATACACTAGGTCTGTCAAGTTCATCAGCTTCAGTCATTCCCAGGACAATCAGAACTACTATGAGAACACATCTATGGCAGAGAAGAAAGCTCGCAAGCTGGCCAAAGCCTCAGGTGAAATGTTATATATGGAGTTGACACTATGGGAAGAGAAAAGGGAAGCCTGTTTATGAAGCAATAAGGAATGTGTAAAATTATTGCAAATATTACAAAATATCATTCTGATGAGCCCAGCAGATTCACATGATTTATAAGCACATTGAGCTCAAGTCTCTGTAGGTCCTCTTTGGACGAAAAATGCAATTATGCCTGGTGTCATAAACCTCCATAATAGCGAAAGCATATTGAACATGACATATACGACATAGGGGAGTGCTTTTGAGGGAATAAAGCACAGCAGCATAAGCCCAGAAAAGAGCCTTCTGCTATCACTGTTGGGGAAGTGGAAAGAGCCCACAGAGGTTCGAATCAACTGATAATCAGTTAAGCTGCCATTGCTCTGCTGTGTGACGGTATATTGGAGAAACGGAGTGATGTACAGAAATGAAATCTGCCCCTGCTGAGGAGGGATGACAATTTCCAGACACACAGCTACATTATGAGCTGGTTGGCTTGGTTGGCAGGGGCCATGAAAAGTCTTGGCTACACTGGAGCTGTAAAATCCCAGTAGTCTCTTGTTATCATCAAGCCCTGCAGGGAAACTACACAGCTATGATTCAATAACGCACAGACTGAAGCTGTGAATCCAGAATGAGGAATATGATACAGGCATCGAAACATGATCAGGACAAACCATTTCCACCTTCTGACCTTCAAGTATTCTCTAAAAATGAGCATTTGACAGTAAGCTAAAATAGCAATTAAATGGGTGTTTTTTACCTGTAGGATCCTATGCCCCTGTGGATAAACCTTAATGCTTTCCTGTATCATTGCATCACATAGCCATTGTGACTAAATCAGATAGATGAAAATGTACAGGATCACAGGAATGACATCTGTGACGTCTGAATCGGTGGACATTCTCATTAATGAGTCCGAGGAGACGTTTGACCTTTGAGTGTTGTGCCTTCTCTCTCCCAGGTGCAAATTTTGTTCAGCATAACCAGAAGTTCCTCAGTAGGATTTACCCTGCAGGCTCAAGGACATCTTCGTCCAACTACAATCCTCAGGAGTTTTGGAATGTCGGCTCGCAGCTCGGTGAGTCGGAGAGAGCCAGTATATGCATGTCCAAAATAGGAGAAAGATCTCATGACATGGTCTGTGTTATCTAATAAGAAGTTATGGAGTCATGGAAGTGTTTACAAAGCAATCTATTATTTGGACCAATCTAATAAATACAGTAATTTAAAAAAATATTTTACGTTAATGTTTTTTTTTTTTTACATTAATGAATGAATACATCAATAAATTAGTTAAATTATTTGGCTTTTATTTATTTATTTATTTTATTTTATTTATTATTATTATATAAAATGTAAAACAAAAAAGGATTATTAAAAAATAACAACAACATGTTAAAGTAAGAAGTCGGAAGTTATAAGTACTTTGTTGCCAACTACGTTTACTTGTCTGAGTCTCAGCTTGATTTTTTTTTTTTTTTTTGTGCAGTTATCATTTCTTTAGTCAGCCCTATACTCATAGGGCTTGACTCCATATCACATACCTGAGAGTAACTCTGCTTCAAAGAAACATTCATAATCTTAATACCCCCAAGGCTCCTGGTAATGTGTGATTACCCATGAACTTAAAGTCACAACACTGATCTGTCTGGCACCATCTTGGCCAGTGTTCCTGTCACTCTGCCTGACTTTGCACATCCTCTTCATCCGCCTCCATCACTCAGTCAGCCAGCCATTGATTCTGACATGAAGCCCTGCTGATGGCTGAACAGACTGTTATTGTACTTCGGTGGAAGCTGTGCAGATGGTGATCGGCACTTTTCACAGTTGCAGGAGACTGCAGTACAAAGCAACAGCCTGGACGGATCAATTACAGTTAGATGAGCAGTACATTCACAGGCATCCTGTGACATACACAAAGTACATATAAAGATGCAGAAGGATGTGTAGCAATGTGTTGGTTAAGACAAAATTAAAGGTGTTTTTTGTGCATATTTATGTATGTTATTGTAGACTCAGTGTTTACATTTCAACCCCCAGAGACATAGCTCAACCCTGTCAGTAGGATCTGCTGCTTTCTGAAATCTATAGTCACTGACGACACAGAAGACATGGTGTATGCACTACACATGCCAACACAGAGCTCTGCACTGCAGTAAACCTACTACAGATCCACTTAGTGGAAGCACAGTTGGTGATTTTGAATGTGTCCCTGATGCAATGTTCGCTATTGTTGCGGAAACATTTCAAGTCATTGTATAATTTAGCTCCCTCCTGCAGAATGAACAAGAGCCTTAGAAAACAGGAGATCATCTCATGCTCATTTTATTTTTAACAAGCTTTAGGCATTTTCAATTTTGTTCCTATACATTTTTCTGCCACTGTGCTCCTCGTTTTTATTGTTCCAACATTGTCCCATGGTGTTTTGCAGTGGCACTCAATTTCCAGTCTCTGGGCTTGCCTATGGACCTTAATGATGGCCGTTTCCAGGACAACGGAGGCTGTGGATACGTCCTGAAGCCAGCAGTGCTCATGTCCAGTCAGAGGAGCTTTGATCCCGGCTGCAGCCAGCACAGCCTCAAACCCACACACCTGCTGCTCAAGGTACAGCTATGGAGCATTGAATGGTGAATAATCCACTCTGGGTGGATTTATGGATTAAGGTGTAATGTTACAGGACGGTGTGTTTGCATGTATGTGGGTGTCTATGCCTCACAATCTAAGGATTGTGTAGCAGAGCCCATCTTGCTCTTTGCCTCCAGATAAATGCTTTCCTGCCAGATGCAGTGAACCAACAATGATGTAAAACCCCCAGAGAGTGTCTCCATTTAATTAGATTATCTCCCTCAGAAAATAAAGTGAAAGGAGAGAGAGGCATGATCTAATGCAATTAGACCTAGGGTTCAATTAATAAATCATCCCCTTTCCATTATTTTAAGCATCTTAGGGGGCAGTAATAGCAACACTTATAATGTACTGTATCTACGTCACATGACGAAGCGGCAAACAAAGTGTAGAACAGTCATACCAAGTCACATCTCTTTAGTGGTGCCATAAGGACGACGGTCCCAAACTAAGTAAGTCCAGCAGATACAACAGACAGTGCTCTTATGCGTAGAACATGAAGATACCCGAGGCTTTGTACTGCAAAGACAATATGTGGAATATCCTGGTATCACATACAGACTTACTGCAGAAGAGGCAGACCAGTGAACACCATCGGTAGCCTATGAATCATAGTTAAATCCCTCTTAAAGGGTCGGTTCCCCCAAATTACACTGAGCTTTAAACTCACTGCATATTACTCTGTGTGTTTTTATATTTTTCAACCAGATCCAGTCAAGAATGTTGGACTTTTTCCTCATTTGAACTTGCAAAGTCAGTATAGCAGCTGTTCTAAATGTAACCAGTTAAACCAGTTAAAGAATTCACATCATCGTCTGTTGCTTTAAAGTCCTATCATACAGTTCCCCCAGTGGTCTGCAATAATATCTAGCCCAGGGCCAGATTGCTTTGATAGCAGAAAAAAAATAAATAAATAAATTGATGGCTGCTGATCCTGAAATAGATCTCAGTCATGACAGCAACAGACTCACATAATCACTTCCTCTTAGGTGATTGTGCTTCCAAAATAAAAGCGTGAGAATGTTTTTTGCAGCAATGCTTCATGCTGTTTATTGAGAGCTTCTACTTTGAAAAGTTCTGAAGGACATTATAAAGAGACTCTGGCTTACTTGACACTTCTCTGAAAAAGCCGTCCGTAAACATGTGATTGAATTTCCCTGAATTTCCTCAGGGAAATGAAAATTAGTGTCCATAGGTTTATGAATGCGGATCAAACGCCGGGACGCACACGCACTGCAGCACATGCTTTATTGCGAGCATGTGAGCATTTGTTTTAAAAGTCTGCCAGATTTTGGGATCGATCATACAACTCCCCCCCTAAGGCATCCCATGCTCTACCCACTGACCTAAACTTACACATGTGTATCCGAGGGCTTGAAATAATTTGACTGAAATTATGTTCTGGCCCACCATGTAACGGCTTGAAAAGAATTTGGCCTGATGTCAGACTTATTGCTGACCCTTGCCCTACTGTGATTCTTGGTATCGCAGTTGTCTGATGAAGAATATAAATCTCGATCAACCAGTTCTTGAGGATGTATAGACTCTCACAAGTTAAACAAAAGTCTCTCTAAACTCTTAATAGAGTATGTACACACATTGTACATCTTCCCATCACAGCGCATGAAATATAAATGTGGTGTGCTATGTTTTTGGGTGCCCTGGGAAAAACCTCAACTTTATTTATTCACATCATCATTCTGTATTATTTGATCACTTCAGGGAAAATCCGGCAATCTTGACTCAGCTCTCAACTCAGTGGGAATCAGAGTCATGAGTAGAATTCAGTGTAGTAACTTAGGATGGGTTGGGTTTTCAATCTTTAAAAAGCAAATTATTCATCTTCTCAGGAAAACAATATTTCCCCTTGAGCTTTCATGAGTCTGTTTAGCATAATACTGTCAACTATAAGCAATGGTCTGTTTTTCAATAGCAAATCTTTATGAACTGATAGCTGCTCCAAACTGCTATCCGTACCCTCACTCAGTATGGACAATTGTAACTGTGAATGAACATAATGTAGGGTGTACTGTGGCGTGACTTTAAGAGAGGAAAGGGACTGTAATTTGGGCCGGACACTGTAAAGCTCCATCAGTGCCAAGCGGGGCATGTCGTGATAAGTACATGCAGGTTTGTCTTTGATCAGAGCCAGGGAAGGGAAGGCTCAGTGTGAGAGGACTGCAGATAAGCCTGCCTCTCTCCAGACTAGTGTAATTACAGCCCTCTTCCTTTCTCTTCTTTTCTCTACTCTTACTGGCTCCCCTGTTTTCACTTCTTTTATATTTACTGTTTATCCCTGATATCAATTACATTTTCATGTGTCTATCCACAGGTGATCAGTGGGTCCAACCTACCTGTTCCCAGGGGTGGCAAAGCTCTGGACCCCTTTGTCAGAGTGGAGATTCATGGGATTGCATCTGACTCGCGCAGAAAAAACACACACACTGTCAAGAACAACTGTAAGTACTGCAAGACAAACTGTTCGTAGTCTTGTTAGGACATCTTAAGACACAGCTTTACTCTCAGCTCTATTTATCAGATTTGGCTTTACTTATATCAATCCAAGACTTATTTTGTCAAACTTAACTTTGAGACGAGAGTCAGCTGAAAGTTTTTAACATACAACATTTTCTAAAACTTACGAATGACGAAAAAGATTAATTTCTGAAATCTTATCAGAGGTTATATGAGTTTTGTTCTCTCTCAATTTGGACACTGTGACGTTGTCTGATCCTTGCATTAAATTGTTTTGGCAACAGCCAAATACTGTAGAACAATGACTCTATATGTATCAAAAGTAAGACTGAAAGGCAGTTCTTACACACAGGTGTCCGAAATACTAACACTGGTTGCTTAATATGCTGATGTTGAGCCAGTATAATGTTAACGATGTTTACCATCTTACTTTAGCATGTTAGCATGCTAAGATTTGCAAATATAACCGCAAATACCAACCTCATAGTGGCACTAAAGGGGATCAAAGTCAGCAGTCATCGACTGAAAACCATGAACATCTGTTCTGTAACTGCATAGGCCTAATATGGGGCAATGTAAACCAAGTTTTTTATGACAGGGGTATTTCCGGTGGTTTCTGTTTTTTTTTCTCTTCCTTTTGAATGCATTTACAGTAAACTAATGTTGGACTTCTGAGGAGAAATGTGCTGATGAGTTTCTTCAAAATATAGAAGTGGATTTCCTTTGAAGAGAAGTCTGTCATGCACTATTGCCATGACTGGAAACATGGATCTGTCACTTCACACAGGATGAAGTGCTACAGTGACTTTAAGCAGCAGTTGGATCCTCACACATTCACAGAACTTCATAAGTATCACAGTACCATATTACCAACATTCATAATGACTAGTGCTAGTTTATTATTGCTATAATGGTAGATATGAAAACGCCTGTTTGGATCTTAAATTTACTGCCTGTAACTTTCATCAGACTTTGACGTAGTGTTGAAATCAACCCTACAGCTATGAGGTTTTTGACTTCAGATTGCACCACAGAACATACAGATTTGATTTTAAGCGTTCATTTTGTTAAATGGGAACATGTAAATTAACTAAATATCAAGACATAACGTTGATGAAATACAACACTGAATTGCAGCTTCTGAGATGAAACAAAGAGGCAGAGAAGGAGAGACAGAGGGTGGGAGAGATATCATGAGTCCTGGAGGGCACAGAGCACTCATGCATGGACATAAATCACAAAATTGTTTCACACTATGAAACAGATAGGGTCAATGGTGAATACAAATGAATGTGGATTTAGATTAAAACTTGGATGTAACAGAGGAACTTGAGAAAATTGTATTGAATCAGAAATGGATTGAGAATTACAGCAGAGATAACTCATTAGTTTTCTATGTGTGTTCTCCTCATTTTTCACTGTAAAATTGTATCCAAAATAAGATTCAGTTTTGTGAAACTGAAATATCTCAACAACAAAACGTCTTCGAGTATCTTCAACCAGTCCAGTTGCCCATGATTTTAACCTTCCTTGGATAACTATGACCTTGATGACTGAGAACCTTCACAGACAATGAATTAAGATGACATTTACAGACTTTTGTTGATTCCCTATTGGTTTCTTACTCTTAAGCTGATGATACACAGAGCAACTTTTGAGAAATCATGCAGGGCAACGTTGCCGTCAATGGTAATGAGTAAAGATTACTACCGTAATCCCCTTCCCCCATCACTCCGCCACCAGCCCCGCACCGCCGCTAGTTCAAAACATAGTCGGGCTTGCTACTGGCAAAATTGCCCAGCAACATTGCTCAAAAAGTTGCCCCGTGTATCATCAGCTTTCTTTGTGTCCTCTGCTGTGAGGGTCCTTTGGCTTCAGAGCACTGTCACTAAAGAAGATCTTTGACTGTGATACTTTAAATATGAGAGCCTCATCAGCATCATCTTGATTATGACATCACAAAAAAAATCTTGCAATCTTGCAGTGGCATGGGGTGGGGTAGCCAAGTAAGAGGGGATGTCCTTTTGGAGGGCAATTATCTAATGTATTGTGCTATTACAGTGCATGGTACAATTTTACAAAATTTAATTGTACTTAGTAATTTGACCCATGTTTTATATAAATAAATATTTTAGAGGCTTTAGCTAAACCTATTAATGCTTATTGCTTCTAATCAGCTGGTTCATTCTGATTACCAATACAGCTCTGAGTCCTCACTGGGATGCTGACATGAACTTCAGCATCAGCTTAACTGAGATCTGCCTCATCCGCTTCTGTGTCCGAGACCAGACTGGGCTCCTCAGCAGTGATTTTGTGGGCCAGTACACCCTGCCCTTCACCAGCCTGAAGAAAGGTGAAATAGTAAAAAGGGGCAGGGTTTTGGGAGTCAGATAAAGAGCTAAATTACATCAGGTGACATTGTGCAACCATCATTGTATTTCCCTTCAGTTAACACTGTCATCATTACTTAAGGTTGGTCTCTGAAGTTTTTAATGGAAATGCTTCCGCATATATATATATATATATATGATGGTGCTCATGTATTTAGCAACTATACATACATTTCTTTTCACAACCCCTTCCTTCTCCACCTCCAGGCTACCGCTGGGTGCCTCTACGGTCCCGAGATGGATGCAGCCTGGATCCAGCCTCCCTCTTTGTCTTTGTTTGGTATTCCTAAAAACAGCTCTCCGTATCAGACTCACACACACACGCCTCACCAACAGATAGAGAAGCGTGGCTGATGCGGCAACAACAACAACAAAAATATATAAATAAATCAAAAGCACCATTTCCTCAGATATAAATACCAGTTTTATTGTCAGAAAATAGATGTGCCTTTTCCCTACTGCCTGCACTGTATGCTACAGAGGAAAAGACAGAAGGTTCCAGTAGGGCTGAAAAGACACTAACGAAGAACAACTCGCATCACTCAAGCAGGGAGAAATGCCTGGAGTAGAATATTATATTCTTATCATAGAATCAATAATTGACGCAAGTGCTATGATTGTGTCAGAGTTAAACACACAAGAGGATCTTACCCACCACAAAAGACAGTTGTTTTTGGATTAATCATCTATTCCAATATGATAGATGTCATTCTTCTATTAGGTCTGAAACTGATTAATGATTAATACTCCATGAATGCTACTATGAAAGAGTAGAAGCCAGCATTTTCTTTCGAGACCCAGTCAGAATAATATAAATAGCATTTACAGAGGTATACATTATTAAACCAAATCCAGTTCGGGGCAGTCTATTTCTATCCTCGTTCATCACTAAATCCTGTGAATGAGGCAGAGGAGAGTATGGGTCAGCGGGCCTGTCAGGAGGAGGATGGCATTAAGATAACATGAAGACCTGCCTTGGCCTGGAAAGAGCATGTGAGCGTGTGAGTATTTGTGTAGGTTTTTTCAGGGGTATTTGTATGGGCATGCGAATGTCTCCATTGCATGTTTGTGTATGCATGTGCTAACTGTGTTTGAATGCTGCTGATGGATAAGACAACGGATGGAGTGAGGGGAGAGTGTTAACTCTGCCCCTCAGGCCAGAGAGTTGTCATCCTGCTCACACACACTCCCCTCACCCCTCTCCCAGCTCCCTCCTGTCTCCCACCTCCAATTCCACTGGTCAAGGACATCCAGTTGACACAGCCCAAAGGGACAAACACACTCAGTCTGGGCAGGTATCAGGCAGGCAGCTCCTAACAGAACCGCATCACTCCTCTTTAATCTGTCACATCGGCAGTCGCCACACACATTTTGACGGTTTTGACTCAGTGAAAAAAAAATAACAATGTTAAAGTACAAATTAAAGTGCAAGTATAATAATAAATGGAATAATTTCTTTCCTTCATCCATTTCCAAAGCCACATCCAAAAACTAACTAATTAGCAAATGTCCTTCATTTTATTTACATTTAAAAAAATAAACACACAGTAAACAGTCTCTTTCCCTGATTCTTTCACTCACTTGTAACTTCATCCAAATACCCCATTCACTTGCAGTATTATCTCTGGAGTGAGGTTAAGTATAAATGAGAGGGGACAGTTCCTCTGCTCAGGCAACTTTTTCCTCACTTAGTCAGTCTTCGAAATCTTTGGATTAATTCTTTTCCTCAATGTGGAGGCTCCCCCTGTTGGCCACAGGACTACAGTGCAGCTCTGAGGTCAGATTGTACAGTTCCCAAGGGGAAACCAGGTCTCCTTGTCAAGCAACTCCTCATCCAGTTTAATGTTTGTTGCAGCCACGAAAGTCTTCTTGCTCTCACTGTCACTTCCAGCACCATCCCATATATCAGTGGGACATCATTGTACTCCAGCTGTGAATAAGAGGCAGATATTTTAGTCAAACAGCTCTACATTCAGAACATCTAGTAATTTGAGGATACTTGCAGTACAGATTTATCAGAACAGGGACTTTACTCTTTGTTCCTTCTATTTGGCTCAGATAAGGCTCCACTTTGCAACATAAAAGCTAGTAAGAGGCTGTATGTGGAAAGCAACTGATCAGAGGCAGGGTCAGAGTGCAGAGTTCAATACTCAAAAGACATCAGATTCAGCAAGGAGAACAGTGCCAGTTTCACAGTGCTCTACACATTATAGTGTATTATATAGGAGGGGGGGGGGGTCCTTATTCTAATCAAGGTACAATGTACAATGCAATTGTTTCATTTTTTTTAATGTTTCAGTTTGGAACTTGCTGCATTTGCTAATTGATTTACATGTACTGGCCCATTATCAAAGGATTAAAGCGTTACTTTCTTAAACTGCCCAATAATCTCATGGAAAAATCACTGGATGCTGTGGACTGCTAAATCATGGATGGAGGATAGGAAGGATGAAAGTTGTACCAGTTCATTGAAGGTGGGGTTGTCATTATTTCGGACCACCTTTGTCTTCTTTTAGATCGCTGGAGGGTCTGGCCTCAGACATGTGACCACGTAGGCGTCAGGGTTGGAGCCGTTTGCCTGCTTCTGTTGAAAAGAGAAAAGGGGCCAGAAGGGACAACCAGCTCTTGAGCACTCACCATGAAGTATCTTTAAGAGAGAGCACTGTAGTAAGTGTGCCTCTTCCCTTGTTAAATGCTACAAACAATGCAATAATAAGAGTGAAGGAAACTCACAATGTTCTTCAGGTGTTTTACCAAGACTGAGAGCTTACAGTCAGAGTAGGAAATGCAGAGCTGGATCTGAGGACAGGCTCCTGCAATAGATCAGCGCATCAGCGCCAGTAAGTCACAGCATAATATGTCTTGTACTGTATGTGGACTATCATCAGTTTCCTGATATAGCACAGAATAAATCTTCACATTCTAAATATTGCCTTCTCTGTGACATTTTTTTTATATTTAATCTTTTTTATACACCATATTTAAAAGCAGAACATTACCTGCCACACACTGTCTTGGACTGTACTGGGTCCATCCAGGAACAAGCTGCACACATATTCATTCTGCAGAGTGAAGCGGGGTTTCCAGGTTAGAGCCAGGTATAACAAGACATCACAGAGAAATGAACCAGTGACAAGCGGAACTTACTCCCTTGCACGGTCCCTCAAAAGCTGTTTTAGGTATTTATTCAGCAGAGATCCTCCTGCTTGGGGTAAATGACAGCTTATACCAACTAGGAAACTATAACGGAGAAGGAGTTAGGACTTGCATCTAATTTATGTCATTATTGTGAAAGAAAAAGCAGTGCTTCAAAATAAAAAGAGCCATGTGATATAAGATGGATGTGTACTGTTCTTCACTCACTGAGGCAGCTTGGATTCCACGAAGTATTTCTGCAGGTGCTTATGGATCAACTCAAACTGCCCATATGTCATCTCACTGTTCAGAAAACCATCATGAATGGTTACCCTCAGGTCATAAATCTACATATCACACAAAAAAAAGTGTTCATTAGATTGAATAGTGAGTAAATGTTGATATCCAGGATCCATGTTCAAGCTCCCAGGCAAGTATTCACGTTATTAAATGGTTTTATATTTATCATTTCGTTCACATTATTAAACAGCTGATTCCCAGTCCATGAGCGTCCTTTGGTAGGCCTGCACTAATAAAATCTCTTGGAAGAAGGCAGCTCAAGGGAGCATTTCACTTAAGTTTTTAAGGTCTGTTTGTCTTGAGTTAGAACGTTAGATGTATACAATAAACTCAAACAGGGGGATAAGCCAGGAAAATATATCAATTTGTTTTTGGACCTCTGCAACCGTTCACCAATTTTGGAAAACTAACCTCAGGTCTTAAGGCAATAATCTTCTCAAAGTGCCATTTAGTCCTAAGTGCTGAGAATTCATGAACTTTACTCCTACTTTCAAACTTAAGTATAAAACCAAGTTATTTGTTAAATCTAAGAAGTACTGTTACTCTTCCAGTTATTAAGACAGCTGAGAGGTCTCTCAAGTGGTTAGGAGCTGCCAGTAGGGGCTTGTGATGGCACTGTTGAGACAGAGACAAATCTTTCAGGAGAGGAATATTATTTCTGAATTATATGATGACGCGCAGCATCGTTTGGACAAAGCAGGCATCATTTTTGTCCTTTTTCCCCATCGTAATCCAACAGAAGCAATCACAATTCTTGAAAATAGCCGGCTTCCTAGGAGTAGCAGGTGCAATTACTGGCATTCACATAAAGATCAACGTTTTTATCTTTAATTTCCGATGTGTATATCATAATGCATTCGCTTGAAAATTCTTTATGGTCAGATGTGTGTTGAATGTAAACTCCTCTTAGGAATTCAACATTCAATGTGAATGTATCTGAGAATATTCTAAAATAAGGAAATCTATTCAGTAATGGGTCCTTGCCTATGTTGTCATCCAAATTTCAGTGTGCGGTACAGCAAAGTGTCGTAAGCAGCTCTAAGACTGACACTTAAAAGTTAGTTATAAAGCATCTCAGTCCTAATTAAGTGAAGTGGTGTAGGAATAAATCTTAAGCACAGCTTTGAGCCAAGAATGTTTTACTTTCAGTCAATTCTTAGCAGTGTTCTTGCGAGAAATTCTGCGAAGCTTGAAATACAGGCTATGATCTTTTACAGTGCCTTCTATAATACATTTATTATTTAGCTGACCCTTTTATCCAAAGCGACTTACAATAGTGTGATTAATAGAAATCAATCTTAACCCAGTAACTTCTTTGACGTAGTTTTACTGTTAAATACTGTACTTCTGATATTTTTGGGAAACCTTTTTATTATCTACTTATGTAAATACCTGAATGCAAGATACTTGTCATTGCCACCAATTCCATTACAGGATGAATCTGAGTCCCTAGGCAATTCTCCGTGCATTTGACTGACAAAGCACTATCTCTGTCTCAGAGCATCTAACCTGACATCAGGAAGTCTTTTCTGATCAAAGAGCAGTGAAATACCAACAAAAACCAATAACAATCCTCACTTGACTCGGGAGAGTGGGGAAAGACTTTCTAAAATACAGCACTGCTGCCTAGGTGGCCACAAGTGACAGCGGACTCAACACACACACTGTCAAGTGAGTGCCACAGGTTATTCCTCGCAGAAAAAAAAATGTGTGAACCTGTGTCAGTTCCAGGTGTTTCATGAACTCCCCTGGCATTAGGATGTTACACAAAGCTCTGTGGGCATCGGGCAAATTTCATTATAAATGAGGCCAAATTTTCTGTCTGAATTACACAGCACAAAGAGCAACATGGAGCCTCACCACATCTTTTCCTTTGTTGTAGCTAGGATGACAGCTTCTTGGATGTTGGTGCTGGGAGCGGGGATCTCGTCCTGGGTTAGTGATTGCGGTCTCTTCCCCATAGCCATGCTATGTGTAAAGAAGTTAAACTTGACTGCAAA